TTTGCATTTTTATTGTCGCTATTTAATTTTCAATTCTCGTCTCATTCTTTGTTAAGTCTTTTGGTATAAAATTTAATCGAACCAATCTCTGTGGGTACGACCTTACTAATCACTATTGCAATTAATAAGAGTAAGTAATTTATTATTTGTTGGATTCGACACCCACCACCACGGGTTACCAATTCAACTAGCATGCAATTCCTAAGACTCGTTTAACCTACGAATGGTACCCGAAATTCCAAACTAGACTCAGGCATGACAAATGGGGTCCGTTGGGACACCATGGGGAACGGGGAACATCAAACGGGGAAGCCCGGGACCCGGGGTGGGGTATGGACCAGCGGGTAGCCGGTGGGTGGGGGTCACCCGCCTGCTGCCCGCCGGTGGGCACTGTTCCGGGCAGCGGGTAGCCGGCGGGCAGTCGGCTGCCCGCTGCCGGCTACCCGCTGCCAGGCAGTGCCCTTTGGGCAGCGGGTAGGTGGTGGGTTCCCCCACCCCCACCTACCCCCCACTGACTCATTCATCACAATTTCGTCCCAGGATCCTTTGTGGAACCCGAAACCATGCTTAGACACTTTTAAACGCAAATAACGACATCACATAAGCAATTAAGGGATCAAAAGCAAGAATCATGTAGGACTTATCCTATTACGGCTTCTAAATATAAACAACACCCGATCATGCGAATTCCCACCCAAATACAAATCAAGAATATCCTCAAGACAAAATCCCGATCCAACCTAGGGCTCTAATCCCACCCAAATTATCAAGAACATATTTTATTTTTAACATCAAGAAAATATCAAGATTCGTCAAGAATCATCAAATCATAATCAAGAACTTCTTTCTAACATCAAGGCCATTAAGATTCTCAAGAAAGCATATAATTCATCTTATTAATCATCAAGAACATAACATAATTATCATAGAAGAATTCAATCAAGACACAAGAATATAGAGGGAGGCCAAGGAAAGAGATTATAGCGAAGAAAATAGGTTTTGTTGAGACATGGGTTACCTTTTAGCCTTAATTAATTTCCTTGGCTATGAAGGGTCTTTCTTTAAGATTTCTCTTTCTTGATTTCTCCTAGGGGAATTCTTGGAACTTTCTTGTGTGGTGAGGGATTATTTGTGGTGTGAATCCTAGGTGCCTCCTATGCCCCTATTTATATAATTAAGAGTCCTAATTAGGGTCTAGGTGGCATGGGTTTACTAATTCTATTTCTTATAGGACTAAGGGATTGGCTTTTAGGGATAAAGGCCCACGAACCATGGTGGACCTCTTTTTAGCTAATTAGTGGGTCTTGACTCCCTTTTTGGGCTGGATAATTAATTAATTAATTTGGGTTTAGGGGTCGTAACACGGGGTGTTACAGTAAGGGTTCGTGGTTCCGGGCCAAGAAAGGAAAGTGTGTAAGTTGGTTAAATCGCTCTATGGTTTGAAATAAGTGCCTAAGTAGTGGCACGAGAAGTTTGACCATGCGATGTTAACTAATGGGTTTAAGATAAACAGAAGTGACAAATATGTCTACGTTAAGGAAATGATAGACAGCTATGTCATTCTTTGTTTATACGTAGATGATATGCTCATCGTTGGTAATAACGATCAGATGATCAAGTCTACCAAAAACATGTTAAATGCGAGATTTGACATGAAGGATATGGGTTTGGCTGATTTAATCCTTGGGATTATAATCATTAGAAGACCTTATGGTATTGTGTTGAGCCACACACATTATATTGACAAAATTCTTGGGAAATTTAACAAGGATGATGATCAATTGGCTAGAACACCGTTTGATACAAACGCTCATCTAACCAAGAACAACGGAGAAGGTATTTCACAAGTGGAATATGCTCGGGTTATTGGTAGTTTGATGTATCTTATGAGTTGTACTAGACCGGATATTGCTTTTGCGGTTAGTAAACTCAGTAGATATACGAGTAACCTCGGTACTATGCACTGGAAGGAAATAGTAAAGGTTATGAGATACTTGAGGTATACTCGTGACCTTGGACTGCACTACGGGAGATATCCCGCTGTACTTGAAGGGTATAGCGACACGAACTGGATATCTGATATTAAGGACTCTAAGTCCACGAAAGGCTACGTGTTTACACTAGTAGGTGCAGTCGTTGCATGGAAATCCTCTAAGAAACTGTGATAGCTAGATCAACGATGGAATCTGAGCTGATAGCCTTGGACAAAGGTTGTGAAGAGGCTGAATGGCTACGCCATTTTCTAGAGGATATTCCAAAATGGGAAAAACATGTATCTCTAATATGTGTGCATTGCGATAGTCAAGCCACAATTGGGAGAGTACAGAGTCATATGTATAATGGTAAGTCTAAACATGTGCGTCGTAGACATAATACCATTAGACAATTTCTCACAACTGATGTTGTCTCGATTGACTACGTAAAGTCAAAAGACAATATAGCGGATCCGCTGACCAAAGGGTTAGGCAAATAATTTGTGGAGAAGTTGACACTAGGAATGGGTCTAAAGCCCTTGGACAAAAAAGTTCTATAGTGGATTCCCAACCCAGCTGGCACCTAGGCTGAATGGGACAACTAAATTATGGAACGGAACGCGTCACTGTGGGGGTCTCAGACTTCTTACCACTCCTCGTTAAAACAATGGCTCCCGCACGAGGCTAGCATGTTGATGCTTTAATCATTCGAATGTCGGTTGACATGTGTGAGTATGCAGGATACTCGAAAAAGAATCACATATGTAAGAGAGAAGTGAGGGTCGCTTCAAAAGAGAATTGATGGGCACAATTCTTTAGAAACTCCCGCAGAACCAGGAACGGTGACCCACGACCAAAACGGGCACAGTCATGAGAACAAAGCATGGTTGGGAGGTTCCTGTGTGAGATATGTGATCGTTTACACAAACGGCAGTCGGTTCAAAGACATCGTGTTTTACCGTACAGCCAGTAGAGTAATCATATCTTCACAAGGGAAGGTTGAAAGGGTGCGGTACCCCCTACCTATCCTATGCAGGGATATACCGTTGAAAATAGTTGTTTCCGATTTCAAAATAACCTGAAAATCAATTTTTCATTCATGTGGGGGATTGTTGGAAAAAATAGCTTAAAATGGCATAAAATGACATGTTAAGTGGCTATTTTGTGGTATAATTATCAGTGAGGTCCACTTCCGATTTGGGTCGGGTTAAAGTGGATTCGGGTTCTTGTAGTGAGACGAAGAGATTGATATATTTTACGCTCAAAACGAATAATGGGTGAATGAGATATTAATTCTCAAAGTAGACCCATTAAGTTGGAAAAATGAAGGGAAAAAGTGAAGCTTTTGTCCCACATTGGTTTGGGAAGAGGATTTGCCCCACTATTTATACAAGAGCTCTTTTTAGGCTTATTGAATTGTATAGCATAGAGGCTCTCTCTCGTGCGTAGCGGGGGAAGTGCAAATCAAATCCCAAAATGAAATCGAAAAGGCTTGACTCAAGCCTAATCGGCACCTGCGGGTACGAATGTCGTTTGAAGCTATGTTATCGGTGACCATTTGAGAGATTAATTACGGATTTCATTTCATGTTTTAATGCTATTGAATTCCGTAAGTGGTGACCATTTGAGAGATTAATTACGGATTTCATTTCATGTTTTAATGTCATTTTTTAATGCTATTGAATTCCGTCACCCCTATATAAGAGAGGGTAGATCAGCAGAATTTTATAATATAGAAAATCATATTTTCCAGCCTCAAAACTCTCTGCTTCTACTCTCTTCTTAGCCTAATTGTGTTCATCCCGTTGCTCTAGTTTGCCAGATTGCTTGTTTGAGTGCTCAAACATTGAATCGTAGCAAGTTTTATCCTGGGAAGCCTAGGCTACAATGTTCCTAGCACTTGTGGGAGGTAGCAAATAAGATTTTAAGAAAAGAGTGATCGCTTGACTCTTGCTAAAAACCCTACACCAAACAGGAGCCAATCTCTTCATCTTTCCTTCCTTTTTCCTACAGGAAATAATAATCCTTATTTTGTAGGATTATTATTCAGTTTTACCAACGGTTACCCAACATCAATTATAATTTTAATTCTTGAAATATATTAATGAGTACAAATATATTTTAGTAAATCAATTATTCATTTAATTATCTGCTGATTTTTTTGGTTGAATATTATTCTGTTTTATGTTTATACATACATTTGATCAATGAGAATGCTATTGGTAACAGAAAAGACAAAAATTATTGTATGGACTTTACATGGTTTGAAGTGTGAGGGTAGGCTTTTGCCTATATGTGAGGTCAAGTACTCCATTGCTTGCCTACTCCAGATGAAAAATTATACATGTTGCAACTTGTATATATTATATTCTTTTTAAACTCTATTATTCTTTGAAGCATGCTTTTTTTCATGTAGCTTGCTGAGGATCAATTTACAGAGCACTGGGACTCATGGTAGCTGCATCACCGTGTACATTATATTAGTTGTGGCTCCATTGGCGTAAAAGCAGCCATCAGTGCTTGCTCCCCAATGGTATGTGATCCCTTCCCAGTGCATGATTTTTTCCTAGTGTATGGTTGTTTACAGAATTAACATTAGTTTGTTATGAATATGGTGCAGAATTAAGTCACATATGGTAAGCAAAGCAGGAAAATAGTAAAAAACACATAATAAGTCAGTGATTAATAAGTAATTCAAATATAGCACACCAATGTGATTATTGATTGTGTTGCCTATTCATATTCTTGTTTTATAGTAGATGAGAATACATGCTTGGAATACTAACAGTTAGATACTAATTAACACTCAATTTGTGTTAGGTAGTTAACCTAAGCAGAAGTGAATATTTTAATCTTTAAGATCACTTTGTTTCATAGATTGTTAAGATCAACAATTATATTCTGCATTTCTTTATTTAGCATTCAAAATAATTCAGTATGTAATGTATTAGTGTTCTGTGCAGTTTTACATCCATGGCAGAAGACAGTATAAGACTCTCTGTAAGTATTGAAATCTAAGAAATTCTGAAGAGTACCATTCTTGTAGAAAAGGTAACATTCAACTATGTATTCCTTTTTCTTTGTTTTTTCCCCATAAATGAATTACTGTTTTCATAATCTTAAAAAACTAATGTATTTAAAATTTTAAAGGTCTGTTATAAACAATTAGATTTTATATACATTTTTCACATTTAATGAATCAACGCAAATTTCTTCTAAAAACACCAGAAATTACAAATTGAAGTGTATACCTTTCCCATTTCCAAGTACACAGCAGTCCAGTAAAGAATGAAATATCCTCATCATCCCGTACCATGGCTTTTGCAAGTGTAAACCTTTCCGATCTCCTTATGAGTTTGCGCCTTCATCTCATTAGTATCCTTCTCCTCCACCGATAGTTCCATTCGCTTCCATGTGCTCAAGATACGGCTGTGGAATAGGTTCTGGACATTTTCCCTTGGCAGGCTCTGATTCAGTCGGCTGCTTCCTTTCCGGCGAGGCCTCTTGCATCACTGCTGCCTTGCACAGCCTAGTTTCGTCGCAACATAATTTCAACATTTCTCCTCCATAGTGTTGTGAAGACTTATTTATAGTGTTGTTTGTAGGTGTATAGAAGCATTCATTTTAAAATTAATATTTAGTCTTGAAGATGACAACAGTCATCTTCCATTTAAATTCATTTTGCATTTTCCCATGTATTGAATATTTGATATGTAAGCAACGTTTACAATTCCAAGACATTTAAATTTACTTAATGTGTTTAATTTAATGAATCCGAATTCCCAAAAAAAAAAAAAAAGCCCAAAACCCAGTGTTTTGCTTGGGCAGGAACTTTTTTCCCTATTTTTATTACCAAAAAATTTCTACTTTATTATATTAGAGATTTTAGGATCATATGAGAACAGTTGCTTAGGTGAGAACGTAACAAGAAATCTTGTACATCAATCTAATTAATTTTAATGGTCTAGATTAAGTGTGTGTGAACGTAGATTAAATGTGTGCAAACGCGACTAAGTGCGTGTAAATGCAATTGATCTAGATTGGTTTAGGTGACATTGTGAGATCAAATCTTGTGCATCAATCTAATAAATTTAATGGTCTAGATTGATCTAAATTAAGTGTGTGCGAATGCGATTAAATGTGTGCAAACACACTTAATCGCGTTTGCACACATTTAATTCGTGTTCGCACACACTTAATCTAATCTAGACCATTAAAAAATTAGAAGAATGCACACGATTTGTTCTCACCTAAGCAAGTGTTCTCATATGATCCTATATATATATATATATATATATATATATATATATATATATATATATATATATATATATATATATATATATATATATATATATATATATATATATATATATATAGGCGGGTTCAGGTGCGGCAGTGTCTTACGGTGCGGTTATTTCTTACGGTGCGGCAACACCAATAGTTCAACAAGTATGCACCATCAACGTTATGAAAATACACCACACAAAACAGAGTAAACAGAGCCCTGCATCACCAAACACACACCATTAGGTGTGAGTAAAAACACCATACACTGTTCGGAAATACACCATTGGGGGTAGTGAGTTATATGGTGTATTTTTTTGAGTCTGTTGTGTATTTTGTGATGTTTTATTGCATTTCATTGTGGTGTGTTTTTATTACACTGTTGGTGCATATTGTTAACACTGTTGGTGTATTCTGGAATTTGACCGCACCGCCGCACGGTAAGACCCCGCCGCATATGAGCGCTCTTCTATATATATATATATATATATATATATATATATATATATATATATATATATATATATATATATATATGTTTAAGTTCCAGTGCTGGTGAATGCTTCCTATGCGGTTGTGCGGGTGATTAATGTGCGTAAGTTTTGTACTTAATGTGCGTGAGTCTTGTGCTTAAGGTGCGTGAGGTTTGTGCTTAATGTGCGTGAGTGTGTAGTGCTTAATGTGCGTGAGTTTTGTACTTAAGGTGCGCGAGTCTTGTGCCTAAAGTGCGTGAGTTGTGTGCTTAATGTGCGTGAGTGTGTACTTAATGTGAGTTGTTGTTGAAACTTTAAAGTGCATGAGTTTTGTGCTTAATGTGCGTGAGTTTTGTGCTTAAGATGCATTAGTCTTGTGCTTAAGGTGCGTGAGTTTTGTACTTGATGTGCGTGAGTGTGTACTTAATGTGAGTTGTTGTTAAAACTTAAGGTGCGTGTGTTTTTGTGCTTAAGGTGCGTGAATTTTGTGCTTAAGGTGCGTGAGGTTTGTGCTTAAGATGCGTGAGTTTTGTGCTTAAGGTGCGTGAGTTTGTGTTTTGAATGTATTTTGTTTGTCTGTTTAATGTCCGTCTGTTGTGTACTTAAAGTGCGCCAGTGTAATGCTTAATGTGAGTTCACCCGCATAACCGCACGGGAAGCACCATCCGCACCTAGTCCCTTCCCTATATATATATATATATATATATATATATATATATAGCACGCCAAAATAAAAGTACTAAACATGCAAACACGTGTGTATATTAAATTAAGTCTCACCTCTTCTTCTTCTTCTTCTTCTCCTTTTAATTTTTCTGTTATTTGATACTGTCAAAACGGAACCAAGAACATGAAACCAAGTGAGAAAAAAAAATATTAAACAGGTTTTGCAAAGAAAATAAACAAATGAATGAAAGAGAAACGGATTGAACATACTCCTGCAAAATTCTTGCCGTCAACAGTAACGAGAAATATGTGCCCCATTTCTTCTTGATACATCTTGGCAGAAGCGGCAACAGAAGGAGGACATTGCTTCAACTCAATTAACCGCAACCCGGGCTTTTTTGCAATTATAGAAGGGATCTCTACTAGAAAATAACAACGTTTTAAGAATATGTAGAGGAGCTTTGGGAAATAATTATTAGTATTGACCACCCATTGCTCAAGACTTCTGGCTTCAACCTCCAATTCTTCTAATTCAGGAAATCCTCCTTCAACCACTTCCCACACTCTGCCATAGAAAGCATTCTTTAGTTTCAGCACTTTAAGCTTCGGTAATTGCCCAATTACCATTAAAACCTTCACTGGAAAATTAGTCCCACTCAAGCTCAACTTCTTCAAATTTGCAGGAAAACCAACCCGCTCTAAAAGGGTTATACTACCAACTGGAACCATAACCGTTAGAGTCTTCAACCTCAATAAATCCTCAAAATTCTCCAAAATGATGATAGGACTTCTGCAACATCGCCCAACGCTGCAACCCGGAACTAAGACATCTTTATACACAACTTCCAGTTTTCTTATGCTTGGAAATCTACAATAATACACTTCTTTTTTCCTGAAATGAATTGGCATTGCACAAACTAATGTTTGCAAATGCTCTTTAACCATGTTTGGAGGATCTATCATATACATATCCCCAAGTTTGAGATGCCTTAAATGTTGCGACTCCCAAATTTTGGATGGCAAATGAAGAGTACGTGCTCCAAGTGTTGATTCATCAATGCCAGACACAGTAAGTGTTTGCAAATTTGAATTACTTGATACTACATCATCAAAACTCTCAAACCACTGTGGTATAGAAAGATATCTTAAAAAAGCTAAGTTCCTTAAGGACAATAATGGCACTCTTTTGAGTATTAGAGATTCACTCAAATTTAAAATTCTTAAATGTTTGAAAAGTAAAACCTTTCAAAACCTCCGTGAAAGACGTAAAGGGAGCGAATGATATTTGAACTAAACAACACATGATAGTCCAAACTATGTGAGCGTAAACTTAACCAGCGACATGAATTTGCAAGTATGTCTAATGGCCATCCAATACATTGTTGAGTATTTGCTGCACATAAAAGACCTTCTTTTTGAGCTTCTCGTATACAAAAGCTATGCATGTCAATATGTATGGAACAAGTCTTTGGTCTGAATTGGTACTCATTAGCTGTTCTGACTAGTCTTCTATTTCTAAGAGCCCTTAAATACATATAACCTATATCTTCTAATGGCAGACACCTCAGTGGCTTCACAAATCCCTCAGCAATCCATAACTTAATAAGTTTTTTGACTTTGATTTGACTGTGTTTTGGAAAGACCACAAAATATAAAAAACAAACTTTTAAATGTTGTGGCAAATGATTGTAAATGTTGGTAAGCTTACTTGAGTGTTGTGTATCTCTATGCAGAATTCCCAATGACAGTAATTCTTTCTCAATCTTCTTCCATTCCTTCAATGTGCAGTTGCATTTAGATAGACGGTCTGCAACTGTAACAATTGAGCGCGGCAATCCTTTGCATTCCTCAACAAGATTCTTCGCGATTTCTTCAAATTTAGGTGTCATATACTGTTCAAGAGAAAATCTGTGGGAAAATAGAAGCCAACTCTCATTGTCACTTAGGTAAGGAAGGCTCCTGATGCTATTCCAAAATTCGGTGATGTACTCAGCCACATCAGTGAAAAGAGTGGTTAGCAATATCCAACTTCCATTTGAGTCATTCGGAAAACATTGATGGATATCATCCCAAAGCAGAGTGTTAGGGACATCATCCAAAACAATTAAATATCTTTTGCATTTCAAGTGTCTGTGCAGTTGCTCTTTTAGTTGAGAAAAAGTGCTTCCCATGTCAATTTCGTCATTGAGGGGGGTTGGGCTCATTGATTGAAGAAGGTGGCACAGTAGTTGTTGCACATTCCCATTGTATATTGGCGGAATAGTAATCCAAGCTTGAATGTCGAAATATGATACAACCATATCATCTGTATACACTTTTTTACAAAAAGTAGTCTTTCCAATGCCTGGGACTCCAATAATTGAGAGTACTCTTAGTTCCAATGCCTGGGGCTCCAAAAAGTAGTCTGTCCAATATATTGGGTACATATCCCTTTTAATGACATAGTCACGATCAAGGTAGATAAGCTCCTCCTCAAACTGTGGAGAGCATTGCAAGGATCCACCTGACGATGACGCAATAATGTTGTGAGGCCAACCAATCAACGGAAGAGAATCAACTTCATTGTTGATAACGTTCAGCAACTCTTCTGCCTCCTTTGCTACTTCTTGCAAGGTTCGATGGAGATGGAGTTCCCGTTCATCAGCTTTTTGTTGAAGTTGAAGGATGTTTGTGAGTTGTATTTCGATGGAATCTTCAGCTTTGAATGCAAAGTCTCTGATTTTGTTTTGCAGATGTCGTCGGATTGGAGCACCACTACCCACAGCGTTGTTGTATTCCTTCTCCACAAAGGCTTCCATATAAGAAAGCTTCTCAAACACAGATTTCAATAGCTTTTCATCATCAAGACAAAGAGGCACTCTGTGGTTGGGTTGCAAAAATTCAAGCTCAATGGTAGCCATCAGAGAAGTCAATGCAACACAAGCCATCTCTCTTTGTGTATGTTTAATTTTCCTCTCTCTAACTGTTTGTATTTTTTTTAAAGTAAGATTAGAATGTAATAATGCATTCGCAACTTTTGGCTTTGTTAATTTATACTGCATTTCTTGACTCTCTCCCCCTATAATATGGCCTGGCCTACTTATTATTAAAATTCCCCCCCAAAAAAAAACATCAAATTACTTACAATCATAATTTATTTATATTTATGTTAATGCAAGTGGTTTTATATAACAATATAAAAGAGTTAATACCATATAAGCTCCTCTGAGGATAGTGGTTTTGCCATGTTTAGTCCTAAGCTTTCAATTTGACCATTTGTGATCCTTCGACTTTCAAATTTAACCATTCGTGGTCCAACTTCACCACCCATGGTCCTTCAACTTTTGAAATATAACCAGTCGCGGTCCTCTTGAAAGGACCATGGTTGGTTAAAATTTAATAGTTGAAGGACCATGAGTGGTTAACTTGGACCACGAATGGTTAAATTTGAAAGTCGAAAGACCACAGAGGGTCAATTTGAAAGTTTAGGACTAAACGTGGCAAAACCAATATACTCAGAGGACCTCAGATGGTATTAACTCCAATATAAAATATACAATAATATTTAATTTCATTGTTATACAAAATTAATTATTTAATATTTAATTGGCTCTGCAAATTATAGCTTGGACGCATCATTATCACTCATCACAACATGTTTGAATTGTTCTCTTCTCTAAACATAATGTCTCAATCAATTGGTAGATGTGCAAATGTCATCCCAAATTTGGTGTATAATTAATATTAAAAAATATAAACTACTTATTTAAAAGAGTTAATACCATCCGAGATCCTCCGAGTATAGTGGTTTTACCACATTTAGTCCTAAACTTTCAAATTGACCATATGTGGTCCTTCGACTTTTAAATTTAACCATTCATGGTCCAAGTTAACCACCCATGGTCCTTCAACTATTAAATTTTAACCAACCATGGTCCTTTCAAGAGGATCACAACTGGTTAAGTTTTGAAACTTGATAATTTAGTCTTCAAATGATAAATCAAACCACCTTTGTTTTTATATTGCTTCACCTAACAACTCCAATTTTGTTTTTATATTGCCATCAATATGAAGCACTAAATTATTTGTCTTTTGCTAGTTAATTTATGTATTGATGTTATATATAGGAGTTTGTGTTGCAAGGAATCTAAATACTTTGTGGATGATAGGTGTGGAGTGGTAAGTTATTAAGCATAATTTTTCAACATTGTTCATTGCATGTAAATGTTTAGTAAGTACCATAAATAAAAATAATATTAGAAATAATAATAATAATAATAATAATAATAATAATAATAATAATAATAATAATAATAATAATAATAATAATAGAATTGAACAATTTTATTGTTATATTCCATGGTGAAAATATTTTATCCATGTTAAATGTTGAAATACAAGAACAGTGTGTATACTCTCATATATTTCTGTACAAGAGGAACCCTATTTATACAAAGGTTGGAAGAGTACCAGCCAGAGAATTTGAAATTCAAATGAAAGAATAAGCACTTAACTCTAACTAACCCTTATTCATCTAACACTCCCCCTCAAGCTGGAGCATAGATGTTAATCATGCCCAGCTTGTTACAAATATACTCAACCCTGGCTCTACAAAGGCCTTTTGTAAGCACATCCGCCAGCTGATCACCAGTTCGGACATGGACAGCAGAAAGTAGCCCTTGTTGAATCTTGTCCCGCACAAAGTGACAATCTACCTCAATATGTTTAGTGCGCTCATGAAACACAGGATTGCTCGAAATGTGTATAGCGGCTTTGTTGTCACACCATAAAGGAACTGGTTTACTCACTTCTACACCAATCTCCCCAAGGATATTACACAACCACGTCACCTCACACGCCACATGAGCCATTGCTCTATACTCAGATTCTGCACTAGAGCGGGCCACAACACTTTGCTTCTTACTTTTCCACGACACTAGGTTGCCACCAAGGAACACACAATACCCCGTCGTTGACCTCCTGTCACTCGGTGACCCAGCCCAATCAGCGTCAGAGAAGGCCTCAACCCTCACATGCCCATGATTGGCATACAAAATTCCTTTCCCAGGAGCACCCTTCAAATACTTCACAACTCGAACTACAGCTTCCCAATGGATTTTCTCCGGATTTGCCATGAACTGACTCACCACACTCACCGGAAAGGCAATATCCGGGCGAGTGATAGTAAGGTAATTCAATTTCCCCACCAGTCTCCTATACCGCTCTGGATCTTCAAGAGGCTCCCCCTCACTGGCTACAAGCTTAACATTCTGGTCCATAGGAGTCTCGCAAGGCTTCGAGTCTAAGAGCCCAGAGTCTTCAAGTAAATCTAGCACATATTTCCGTTGTGAAAGAAATATGCCTCTCTTAGAACGAACAACCTCTATTCCAAGGAAGTACTTTAACACTCCCAGGTCTTTAGTATGGAACTTCTTCTTAAGAAAAGACTTGAGCGCATCAATTCCCGCTGCATCACCACCTGTGATCACTATATCATCCACATAGACAATTAACAAAATGCTGCCACGGTTAGAATGTTTATAAAAAACAGTGTGATCATAGGCACTACGCTGCATGCCAAACTCAGTAACAACACTACTGAATCTCCCAAACCACGCTCTGGGAGACTGTCTTAACCCGTACAAAGATTTCTTCAACTTGCAAACCTTCTCGTTCTCCCCCTGAGCAACAATCCCAGGCGGTTGCTCCATATACACTTCTTCTGCCAAATCACCATGTAGAAAAGCATTTTTGACATCTAACTGGTGTAACGGCCAATCATTAATAGCAGCTAGAGAAATGAAAACCCGCACAGAAGTTAACTTGGCAACTGGTGAAAAAGTCTCCGTATAATCAACTCCATAAGTCTGTGCATACCCTTTAGCCACCAACCGTGCTTTAAGCCGAGAAACCGACCCATCAGGGTTCGTCTTGACAACGTAAACCCACTTACACCCAATTGCCGACTTCTCGACGGGGAGACGGACAAGATCCCAAGTCTGATTCTCTTCTAGGGCTGCCATTTCTTCCTCCATAGCAGATCTCCACCCATCATGAGACATAGCCTGACACAACGTTTTAGGGACAGACACAGAATCTAGTTTGGATATAAAGGTACGAGAAGACTCTGACAGATGACCATAAAAAACATAGGAAGAAAGCGGATGACAGCAACTACGTTTACCTTTTCGAACAGCAATTAGAAGATCAGTTGACGGAGGTTGTGGTAGGGGAGGAGCATTCACCGTTGGCGCCACTACATCTCGGGGCCGCCTAGAATACACTTGCGTAACGGGAGGTACGACACCAGAATCAGGATCCACTGCGGGTACAGGAATAGTGATAGTATAAGTAAGAAAATCCCCTTCTATCCCCGACGACTTATCCCCTGGAACGCTACCAGAGAACACAGTTTCCTCAAAGAACGTGACGTCAGCCGAAACCAGATATCTCCCCAAATCAGGGGAGTAACACCTATACCCTTTTTGAGTTCGAGAATACCCCAGGAAGATACACTTAAGAGATTTAGGATCAAGTGTTAGGAATAAAGTGTAATGGTTTTGATATGCCAAATTTGTATTTGTAGATCCCCCAATTTTATTTCATAGGTCTAGTAGAGTCTTAGACCATGATCGGGAAATTATTTAATTATGAAAAGAGAAAAACAGAGGAAAATGGATGAAAATAGAAGAAGAAGATATAAAGCCGAAAATCAAGAATTTGTCTGGAGAAAATGGCAAATTGAAGAAGAAGATGAAAGATATGAAATCACGTCAATGCTACTCAAAGAAGATATCCCAGAAGAATTTTCTTGAAGAAAATTAATATGGGAAGAATGCATGAAATTGACTTGGAGATCAAGCATCTATGGAAAGAAAGAAGTACATCAAATGTGATTGGAGATTTAATCAAAAGCTGTACGAACGAAGTGGATGATGCTTGATATATTATTCGAAATGGCTCAAGTTCGAAACTCACCATCAAGAAGTCAAATTAAATTAATCTGATGGAGTTGGGCGCTAGTTTAAGCTTTGGGCGCCGATTACAAGTGGAAATTGGGAAGCAATTTCACTTGGGAGCCAATTGAGGTTGTGCAATTTCAAATCAAAGAAGACATGGAGATCAAATTGAATTGAGATGAAATTCAAATACCAGGAGAAGTCTGGGAGCCAATTCAAATTGGGAAGCAATGAGCAGGAAAAATACTAGTTTAACTAGTATGGGATTAAATTGATGAATATTTTTAAATCCCAAAGATACAAAGACCACTTCAGAGCTGATCAGAGAAGCCATTCTACACCAAAACTGAGACCCAGATATTTCCACTCAACGTAAAACCAGAGGAGTATCAGATGAAGTTTGGGAGCTCATTTACATGGAGATGAAACTCCATCAATGGCTAGCTTATCTCTTTCTGACATTTTTGCAGAAGATAAGATAAGATCTCTGACAAAATATACAAGATTTAAAAAATGAGAGCGTCTCTTTCCAACGGACAGATTCTCATTACCAGCTATAAAATGATGAAGATATGAAGACTTGAAGATGGGGAACTCATGAACAAGAGAGCAGAAAATTCGAATCCATCAAAGGGATCGAATAGAGCAATTAAGCTTGAAAGAGCATAGAGCAAAAATCTCATTTGGTACAGAGCATACGAAAAATCTTCAAGTGAGAAGTGAGAAAAGAAAAAGAACTCAGAGAGCTTCAAAAGAGAAATATTCTGAGAGTTCTTAAACAGAGCATAAATATCAAGTGCTTTACTTGATATATTCAAAGAGAGAAAACACTCAGAGCTATCAAGAGAAATCATTCCAGAGTGTTTATCTTCATCAAAGAGACATGCGCATCATTGAAGATCATCTACAGAGTCTCAGAAGTTGGAAGCAAGACATCACTTGTTTTGGAGCAAAACAAGAGAAGGGAGGAAAGTAGCACGGAGCTGTGA